GAGTCTGTGTGTGCTCTTCCCCCAAATGGTGAGCACACAGAGGCAGAACTGCTGCCAGCCAACCTCACAGGCAAGGCAGGAGGGCTGGGGGGTAGGGGTGTTTGATGAGCTGCAACATGCTGTACTCCCGGCAAGGTGGGTTCTGGGCTCATCCCTCATTGACACTCATTGACCTGGAAAACCGTGTGCCCCGCTGCCCCACATGCTTAGCTCCTGGGTGGGGTCAGGGGGGGGGGCAGTTCTGGAATTCTGACTCCCAAAGACCCCTGGGCTCTGTGGGCCTCTGATTTGGTGCCTGGTATCAGTCGTCAACTCTACATAGAAAGAACTCGATTTGCTTCCAAAGGCTGTAAGACTCGAATTTAATTCTCCCAGTCCATCTTCTTCCTCATCCACCAACAGACACCCAAGTCCCCACTTAGTAGATGGCATTCAGGGGCCTTCCTGAGTATAGACACCCCCCCCTTGGGCTGTCTCTTCTTCTCTGGGATGGAATGACCTCCACTCCATTGGTGTTTGTCAACATCCTTCCCTTCCTTCAAGCTCGCCTAAGAGATGATGGGTGGCTTTTGATGCGATTGTTAGATCGATTACTCCCACCCCAGTCTCCTCAGATCACCCAGTTTGTTGCTTTTTGAGATACCTGTTTTAGGTATGAGGGTTCCTGGGTGGTACACATGGTTTACACTTGACTACTGACCTCAAGGTTGGTGGTTCAAACCCACTGAGCGATACCACAGGAGACATGCTGGGAAAACTGCTTCCGCGTGAAGGGACAGTTAGCACCGTTAGTTCTTGGACACACCTGGGGCTAGAATCCACTCGACAGCCACAGGCGGAGCATTGTTTTTGTGTCCGATAGTTCTTTAGTGGTTATGTCTAGATTCTAAGTTTCCTGAGAACAGTAACTCCTGTGGCTGAATTGCTGAGCCCCAGCTGGCTGTTGAGTGGGAGAGTCTGAGATGGGTGAAGGAAGGTCGAGGGAAGATTTCCCATCCCTGGTTCCTTTGATGACTGTGTGCCCAGGTCTCCGAGATCCTCCCTGCTGACCTTGGAAGTAGACCCCCAAGTCAGGGTGGGCTTTAGAGGGGGAGGGTGGGTGGAGGAGGGAAAGGGCAGGTCAGGAGAGGAGGATGCTCTGGAACACGTGCATGGAAGTTCTCAAACCAGGCACCATTGCAATGACGAGGCTATCACGGAAGACCGGCTCTCCACTCCAGGCAGGGTGGGGTCCTTGTCAGGCTCAGCCGTCCACAGCCTCAGCTGCCCTGGGTCCTGTGTCCTCCCCTTCTGGCCCCTGGTGCAGCTGAGGAAGGGCTGGGGGAGAATGGGGCTGGGAGGGATGGGGAACGTGTGGCAGAAAAATGGCACACATGTGTGTAAGGTGTGGGAGAGAGGATGTGTGTAAGAGGGCAGCAGGCAAACAGCCCGGCAGATGAGGGTGTGTGAGGGGTGGGAAGGTGTCTGGGGGAACGGGAGGGTGTGGGGGCGAGGGCGTAGGGGCCAGGGCTGGCAGAGCGAGTTAGGCGAGTGGTGGTGAGAGACACCGGGTGTCGACAGGCGGAGTGTGCCGGGGAAGTGCAGCGAGTGGGAACATGTGACCCGGAGGTGTTTGAGAGACTTGGAGCTGTCAGAAAAGAGAGCATGTGCTTTACCGTGGAGGGAGGCAAAGGAGGATGACAAGCAGCTGAAATTAGGGCGTGAAGGGGAGAGGCAGGAACCAGGCCCAGACTCTGCCCACAAGTCATGGGTTGGGCATGAAATTCCCCACCTTTTCCTTGGGTAAGGAAGGGGGTGGGCAGGGACCAGAGGATAACACCTCTCTGTCTCTCTCTTTCTCTCTCTCTCTCTGTCTGATGTTGTGCAGCACAAGTTCTTAGGAGGCTGCCCTGCTTACAAGATGCACTTCCTCTGATGAGCACAGAACTTGCCAGCCTCTGCCTGGCGTGGAAGCGGGGATGGCACAGAACAGAGAGGGGCAGGGGACCCCTGGGAAAGCCTGATGTGCGCCTGGGTCTCTGCACGCGCAGCCCACCTCCTGGACACCGCATTGTCTGTCACCATGTCCCCTCATCCTTCATCCCCACAGGGAAACCCCGGGTCACAGAGGACGGCCATACGTGCTCAGCTGAACTCCCCACCTCAGAGAAAAAGAGCAAACACCAAACATGGAAGGCTAGAAGGAAGGCAGAACGGATGGACGGAAGAGGAGAAAAGACAGACAGCATATCTGAGGGCTTGATGCGTCCCTCCCGCTGACAGTGGGGAGATAATGATCGTGTACCCAGGACAGGCCCACGAGGTGCCTGCGATGCCTCCTGCCTCACACAGGCAGAATTAGCGGAAGTTCTCCCTGGCGGAGGGATGTAGATTGATTGCCTGGTTTTATTAAGGACAAAGTGCTTTTTGATAGTTTGAGGGAAGCGGCTCCCCAGGGCGGGGATTCCGGCGCCTGCAGCTCCCCGAGCATCGATCGTCAGGGCTTCCCTGTCTTGTGCTGAGCTGAACAAGGGCTTTGGCAAGCGATAAAGAGGCTATGATTCTTAAAAGGGGAACTCTGGGGAGACGCTGGGCCGACCGCACGCAGGGCCCTGCTCTGAGGAGCCTCTCCTGCACGTGTCCTGGGAAGACAGCTCTGAAGGACAAGCAAGCTGGAGGCTAAATGCTCCATGGCCCCACCAGGGCTGCGTGATGAATAATATTCTCTGACTTCCTCCCTGCACGGGCTCAACGGTGCTTCAGGGGTCAAACTGCCACCTCCCACGGGAGAGACCCGTTGGATTCCCAGTGGATGCACCTCAGTGCAGTCCCCACCAGCCTGTCAGTGGAGACTTGTGTGTTGTGGGTCATGCGGCAGGCTTTTAACTGCAAGGCCAGCAGTTCAAACCCACCAACCACCCTGCTGGAGAAAGATGAGGCTGTCTGCTTCCCTAAAAGTACATCGCCTGGCTCACTACCATTGAGTTGATTCTGCCCCTTTGAGACCAGATAGGACAGGGTAGAACTGTCCCTATGGGTTTCTGAGACAGAAACTCTTAAAGGGAGTAGAGAGCCTCATCTTTCTGTCTGGGAGCAGCTGGTGGTTTTGAACTGCTGACCTTGTGGTTGGCAGCCTGACGTGTAGCTGCTAAGCCACCAGGGCTCCTCTTTCCAGCCTCAGACGTGCTCTCCAGGGTAGCTCTGGGTCGGAGTTGACTCGATAGCAGTGGGACACTGGGGAAGATGTTTCGGTGGAGGTTCCAGACTCCTGAGGACTAGGGCACAGTCTGCTGACCGCCCCACAACAGCCAGCGCACCCCATGGGTTCCGGTGCACAGGGCTGCCATCATTTGATGGTCGCTAGTGGTTCTGTGGTGGGCTGCTAACGGCAGGCTGGCTGTTTGAAACGGCCAGCCGCTCCTCAGGAGCGAGATGAGGCTTCTACTCCCACAGAGTCTCTCACAGGAGCCGTTCGTTCTACCCTGCCTTACGGGGCGGCTGGGAGTTGGTGCGGACTCCATGGCAGGAGTTTGGTGTTGGTTTGGTGACAACCACCACCACAGCCACCACCTCTTCCCATAAACTGTAACCGGCTAGGTGCCATTGTGATCCAGTGAGGTCAAGCAGCAAACGAAGGTTACATGGTAACGCAGCCCTGGTGGCCTAGTGGGGTCCAAGTTGGGCTGTTAACCTCAAGGTCATTAGTTTGAAACCACCAGCCTCTCTGAGGGACAAGGAGGAGGCGTTCTACCTCTGTCCAGCACTATAGTCTCAGAAGCCCCCAGGGCCAGTCCCACCCTGTCCTATAGGGCACTGGAATGAGAAGGGACCAGATGGCGGTGAGTGAGAGCCCAGATTCATACTTGGCTGGTTCACACCAGAGCTCAAACTCTCACCCCTGCCCTCCCAGGCCCCCAGCCCATGTCCTGACTTAGGGCCACACACGTGCTCTCCTCTGGACACGATTCCCAGACCTACTATGTGGCATGCTGAGATAGAAAGGGTCAGGGCGACCCAGCAGGAATGTCTGCATGTGGCTTACAGAATGCAGGAGGACGCACCCGCAGGGCCAGGTCTGGGTCCTGGGACTCTGCAGACAAAGGCACACCCCGTGCTCCCTTGCTTCTCACAAAGCATCTCCCCCTTTCTATATTAGTCGCTGTGTTATTTATAACCTCGCAGTGAGGCGGGTGGGCTGGGCATGAACCGCTGGAACAGGTGAGGAAATTGGAGTGGAGTGCAGTGGCACGCTCAAGGTCAGAGGGATCACAGAGCCAGGTCTGAAATGGGAACTCAGGCCTTTCTTCTGCAATGTGTGCACAGGGCCTTCTTTTCTCAGTGACCAGCAGGTTAAATACAAGCCACTCACCACACTGGCCCAGGGCCGTCTAGTTGATCCAGACTCAGGGACCCTGAGGGGAGGAGTAGAACTGCCCCTGAGACGGTAGTAACTGTTTCCGTGAGCAGAAAGCCCTGTCTTTCTCCCTTGGATCAGCTGGTGGTTTCAAACTGCTGGCCTTGGGGTTAGCAGCCCAATACACAACCACTGCATTAAATACACACAAACTCCCTGCCGTCGGGCAATGCTGACTCATAGTGACCCGACAGAGCAGGGTCGAACTGCCCTTGTGGGTTTCCGGGGCTGAGAAGCCTCATTTTTCTCCAGTGCAGTGACTGGTGGGTTCAAACGGTTGACCTTGCAGTTAGCAGCTCTAACTCTTAACCCACTGTGCCACTGGGCTCTATCCTTTAAGCAACGGAAACAACCTGTTTCATATGACTACTCAGACTGAATTGCCAACACTGAGAAGGGAGGGCATGGAACATGACATCACATATGGTGCTTTCTCATGACTGGGTGAGCTGGGTTGGGGCATTCAGAGGCTGAGACCCCCTTTTAAAGATGAGAGAACCTTTGCCTCCTTCAGCCCAGTTTCTCCTTCACAGACAGGTGCCTATGGGGTAGTGGCGTGAGTGAGTGTAACCAGGGTGGGGATGGGCTGGGCCGGGGCAGAACTCACTCTTGACGGTGAGGAACATGGACTTGCTGATGTCGGTGCCCACACCGTTGCTGGCCTGGCAGAGGTAGTAGCCAATGTCCTCCTCCAGGACGTGGCGGATCAGCAGCGAGCTGTTTGGCAGGATCTGGATGCGTCCGGTGAGGGGCACTGGGTGGTACTGCTGGGGGTTCCCGCTCCCTGCAAGGAGGCAGTGATTAGCAGGGGCTGTGCTCTGGGTGGACAAGAGTGCCCCAATGAATGGTCCCGGCATCTTCCACTTGCTGATCTGGGGTCATTTTGCACCAGGTTCCTACAGTCCCTACAGGGCCGGGAGCCCACGCCAGTCCTGCAAGGCAGCAGGGCAGACCCTCACTGAGGCCTAGTCCTGCTCCAGCTCCAGGGTCTTACGATGGAGTTGGGGGTCTTCACTCAATGCCTCCGATGGCTCTGAGTCTCTTTGAAGTGCGTTTCTTGGCGAGGAAGGTACTGTCTTTGGATCACTCAGCTACTGGCATAGAGTAAAGCCTGGGCCCTCAATGGCAGGTGACTGGTTTTACGAAGAGGACAGCCACCCCCAGGTGGGGCCTTGTGGCAACCCCGTCCCATGACGCCACCGTCAGTCACAGCCACAGTCTAGGGTAAGAAATTGGCATAGGGCTGAGCCAGATTCTTGCGGGTAAAGCTGGTCTCCAGGAAGAATCAAGCTGCCAGAATGGGTTGCTCGGTGAGGTGCAGGGAACCCTGAAAGGGTGGAACTTCAGGATGGGGGATACGTAGGCACGCACCATGTTCTAGGGCTAGAGGCAAGGCAGCAGGGTGGGGGTAGGTGGGAGGCAAGTCTGTAACGATAAGAGGAAACTTTGTGTTGACATGGCAGTTGGCCTTGATCCACGCAGGCAGGTGGTGGTTGAGGATGACCTCAGACCAAGGACAGCTCAGGGCCCTCTGAAAGCTCACAGAATCCAGGGCTCTCCCCCAGGGCGAGCAGCTGTGGGCAGAGATCAGGCCCAGCCCCCTCCACTCCCTTGGTCCTGCTTAGTGATTCTGATGGAGCCGGGGGCTTACCCTTGGCATGCTTCCACATGACTTTGGGTGGGGGGTAGCCATCCACGGAGCAATTGAGCACCCCAGCTTTGCCGTAGATGCCATCCTGGTTGTTGGGCTGCACCACAAATCGGGGGGGCACTGCGGAAAGAGGGGTGACAGGGTAAGACTGCGCATCTCAGTCACTGCCAAGCCTCCTGGAGCTTCGAGCATCTTCCAGCCATCCTCAGCCCTGCCTGGACCCTTCCAAAGATGGGGCCAGCCACTCCCGGAAATCAAGATGCTGAGCACATGGGTTGAGTCTTGGGCTGGGAGTTGAGAGTTCTGAGTTCCAATCCTGACCCTCCTGAGGACTGAGCAAATGGGGTGCCACCCACCAACCATCCCCTCCCCACCTGCCCCACACCGGCTTTCCCCTGCCTTAGGATCTCAGTTTCCTGCCCTGGAAAATAAGAGACCTGGACCTTAATATTGCCTAGAGGCCCTTGCTGGATGGAACCAACTTCCTGGGAACCTGTGACTTCTATGCAGGATCTAGAGACCAGCGGGCCAGAGCTGCCCATGCCCATGCCCAGGCCCAACCCCAAACTGGGTCCTCCCACTCACCGCGCACGATGAGCTGGCGCTCACGGCTCACGGTGGCCGCTGCGTTGCTGGCGATGCAGGTGTAGTTACCGTTGTGCCTGAGCGAGACACTGGAGATCTGCAGGGAGCTCATGAACTCCTTGCTCTCGATGGTCACACCGGAGCCTGAGATGATCACCTGCCCGTCCTTCCGCCAAGTGATGCGGATGGGCATGTCCCCTGAGGACACCACGCAGGGAATGTAGAGAAGCTGGCCGATGGAGGCAGGTGGGAACTCAAAGGGCTGGATTAGAGGGGGCACTGAGGGGACAAGAGAAATGCTGCTGTCAGGGCCCCCACTCGCTCCAGCTTGGCCACCTGTGGACTCTGGGAGGCCTCCCCAGGGCACCCTTGTCCTGTGTCACATGCTCCCTTACGTTCCCATGGAAGGGCCTGGCTGCCTTGCAAGGGTCACTGGGTCCCAGGCCCCAGGCCTACCTAGGCCTGCACTGCCTCCTTGACTTGGACCGGCCAGCTCTGTCCAGGGGTTTGGCTAGCCTGCATTTATTCTGAGCTCCACATTTATCCTGCGGAGTGATGTCCATGTGTTTAGACTTCCTGCTAGGTCCCTGCTGACCCACTGCTCAGCTGCCACAGCACCTTCCCTGCCACCCCTAGTCAGCCCTGTGCCCATCTGTTCACCCCAGAGAGGCACCTCTTGGTCTCTGGAGCTGGGATAGGCAGAGGGGTGCACTCAGGTGGCAGGAGAAGGAGGCTGGGGCTGAGCGTGTTCCCTCACACATACCCCATCGCTGTGCGTCTCAAGCCTCAGGCTGTTCTCGCTCTCAGCACCCAGCCCACCTCTTTCCAGCCAGGAGCACCAGGGACGGTGGGGGGAGGTTCATGATGTTGGCCATTCCTGTTGGATTCTTTGCACATATGATCCCACCGTGTCCTCCAACCAGTAGTGTAAAGAGAGAGCTTCCCTGTCCCCATTTCTCAGAGGAGGAAATGGAGGTCCAGAGAGAAGCCATAAGCCCTGGACTCCCTGGTGGTGAGGGGCAATGGTGGGATTTGAAACCTGATTGGTATCATCGCCAATCCACCACACTGCCAGCTGAATTGTTGGCCCCTCCGACTCACGGGGGTCCCATGGACAACAGAGCCTGCACTCTCCGCAGGAGGGACCGCCTATCGGATCCCCCATGATCTGCAGGGTCCGAACTGGTTGGTGTTGGGGAGCAGATTATCAGGCTTCTTCCCTAATCTCCCCTGGAAGCTCACTGACACCTTTAGCACACAGCAGCATGGAGGCCCCCATGGATGGTGGGAGTGGTGATGCTGGACCCCACCTCCCTGGTGGGAGGGGAGAATCATCCCCCTGAACCACCACAGCTCTCTGCTGTCTAAGGAAGACCCTGGAACATCCGGGCCAGAGGCCTCAGCTCCCCTTGGGTGGCAGCAGCAAACCCGAGAGGGAGGCCTGCTGCTTTGGAGGCCACCAGGCAGGTAGGCTGGGCAACTCAGCCAGGCACAGCACCCCCCACCCGCTCCCTCCCTCCCTCCTGCCCACATCTCAGCTGCTGGTGGTCTGTCTGGAGTCCCCAAGTCCATTGGAGATGGATCCTCCTTTCTCCGCTCTGACTAGAGCACCAGCCATTATCTTCATGATAACTCAATTATGCCGCGGCGACTTCCCCGGCAAGTTGCGGGTGGGGGGAGACGAGTGTGCAGGAGACAGACAATTAGCTTAACAAGGATGAGCACCCAGTCGATGAGATCTCCTTTTTGCAGTCAAATAATTAAATTACAAGGTTGTCCACAGGCCTCTGCGTTCCCCCAGGCACCAGCCCACCCCTCCTGGAAGGCTGCCACCCCCTACCCTATGTCCACCCAGGAAGGACACAGCAGGGTGTGGGCCCCAGTGGACATGAATGGATGGCAGTGCATGTGTGCT